TCCGTTGGACAGTACGTCGACTAACACCACACAGTCTCCAATTTGCAGGTACTTAACGTAGGATCTACATAAACTTGCCCTAAAACCCCCACTTCTATTGCTTCGTTCCTTATGGGATTTTCAATGTTGCGTTTTTTATTGGCGACTGACCCGGTTTCCCGAAATCTAGCTACAAGTTCTAGAACATATTTTTGATGCACTTTACTGTTCTCATGTCGCTCATTAAATATTTCTGCTGTTCTATTAGCTCACTGATTATTTCCAAAAAATATTTCGATTATTTCAGCTCTTTCTGCTGTGGATTATACCGAGGTTAATTTATGTAATTCCTGAAGCGTTACAAGTTATTTTAGCAACAAAGTTTGGTCAAATCAATCGCAAACTATGTACTAAATTCCTATTTAAAATAAGTACGAGATATTTCCTTATCTTTCTTTAAGAAATAACTTTTTTGCCACAAAAAAACGCTCCAATAGCTATTTTCAACAACAAAATGATAAACAGACCATGAGCGTAGCGAAGAAAAGCATTTACTTATTAAGTAAATTCTTTTAGTCAAATTTCTTCTGAAAGTAGTACAAACTAATCTGATGTACCTAATAAAGTCTACTTTAACCTTTAAATCAATAAATCTTCAAACCTACTGAACTGAAGCTCATGAACTTTACATCATTATAAAGGGAATTGAAAGACCTTTAAAATAAGGTATCACTCGACCCCCGTTTCCATTTAAGGTTTTAGGGTTGGTGTCATTCCCGCCCAGGGGGCTGCACGCGTTAACGCGATTTTTTGCCAAACTTGTGTCCCCCTCGAAAACAAAATCGACGGGTCTGAGCGTCTTCCAAAAAAAAACTGAGCTGCCAGTAAATGCGTCTGTTTCGTGTTCGATGCGCCACCCTGTATATGTATATATATATATATATATATGTATATACTACCATATTTTAAATGCAAATCAACACTGAGAAAAGATGGTCAATTAAGCAGTTTTTCTGGATAATTCTCTAATTGTTACTAATTATTTTCTGCTAACAGCTTAGGTGAAAATAATATATAATAATACTATTCAACCAATTTGCTTGAAAACAGTAAACTGTGTATACTTTATCTGAAGTCACTTGAAACACTGTGAAATACCGGGTGCGTTTTATATATCTATATTTAACACGCTCTGTTGCTGCAAAAATCGCCAAATTTCGTAGCAAATATCCCCCGTATAAGATCAAAGGCAGTTTCACCGGTCCACGTGGAGTAAAGCACGCCTATGCGTGGACATAGCCAATGAGAAAGCGTGTATTTCAGAGCTCCGAACAAGTGCAGGTGGCTACTGAAAATTGAAACAGTTTAGCCAGTGCCGTGTAGCGGTGAATAAACGTGTTTTCTTTAGTCTGTCCGTGTTTTTTCATAGATTTTATTAGTTTGTGTGTTTTTGACTTTTGAATACTCAGTTTACTTGTTGATTTAATTGTTGTGTTGATTGTTCTTGTGTGTCCTAAATATGGCTCTTTGGAGACCTTGGGTAAATGCTCCAAGCCACGAGGAGATGGTTGATGAACCTGTGCAGGCAGAATTCTTTCATAAAGATTTAGAGGAACAGACCCAAAGAGTAATCCTAAATATATTATGATTGTCTGAAAAACGAAAATCCAGATTCCTCGCAAAATCAAATTTTAAACAGAATTTGTATCCTGACAAAAATTAGTCGGTCTACCATTTATCGGGTTATAAAAAGGGGAGATGTAGTCAACCATTCCTTCCACAGAAAGCGCATAGGGCAAAAATTAAAAAGAATAGACGTGGGTTTTCAGGAAGATATTCGTCGTATAATATACGGATTTTATAAAGAAAATTTGGTGCCCACGTTGGAAATGATACGGGATAAATTAAAAGAGTATCCTGAAGATTTTTATAATTACAAATGCTTAGACTCACTGCACTGTATTGTAAAACTGTGCGGTTTTCAATACAAAAAATTAGATAAAAGAATGGTGATTATGGAGTCGTCTCGAATCGTTGAATTGCGCCAAGAATTTTTGCACAAAGTTAAAATCTATAGAGAGCAGAAAAGAAATCTGATTTACCTGGATGAAACGTGGTATGATACCCATGATGTTGTGCAGTACGGCTGGGTTGACGACAGCAACAAGTGCATTTTAAATGCACCATGCAACCGTGGAAAACGAATCATTATTCTCCATGCTGGCAGTGAAAATGGATTTATACCTAATGCCTTGCTGTTATCGGCCAAAAATATCAAAGAATCATGTGCCGACTATCATGAGGACATGACCTCCGACTTATTTGAAAAGTGGATAGAGCAGCAGTTAATACCAATCATTTCCCCAAATTCAGTGATTATTATGGACAATGCGCCATACCATTCCCGACAGAAAAACAAAATTCCGAATACAGGCACAAAAAAACAAGACATTATTGATTTTATGAAGGATAAGGGAATGGAAATACCACAAAAATCAACCCAAGCCATATTATTGGATCTTATTAAAAGACAAAAATTTGAAAAAGAGTATGTTGTTGACAATCTGCTTCAGCAAAATGGCCATGAAGTATTACGTCTACCTCCCTATTACTGCATTTTTAACCCGATTGAGTTGGTCTGGGCTGCTTTAAAAAAAAAAGTAAGAAAACATAATCAGACCCCTCAATTAAGTGAAAAGCTATTGGCCACAATAAGAGATGCAGTATCTCATATTGCTGCCACAGACCTATGGAAGCAGTGTTCTAGGCATATTATTGAAAAAGAAAATGAATATTGTGTTTTGCCTCCTGTAAATCCCGTTGTAATTCCTCTACAAGATGTCTCTAGCGACAGCTCCGAAAGCGAGGATGATATATAAATACCTATAATGTAAGTCTTTATATACCTTTTTATATACCTACCTGCTATGTAAATATTTGTCTATGTCAAACGTTGGAATTCTATAATTTTTCCATTTCTTAACTTTCAGTCAACATAAATTAAACTCCCAATATAAGTATTTTTTATCCCAAATCAAAAAAATAAGAAGATAGTAAAATCCATTTATTGTGATATAAAAACATTATTATCGTTCTAAATAAATAACCGCACGCCTATGATACGTCATGAAATTACAAAGGACGCGTCGACCAAAGGTTTTTATGCTATTTCAAGTGACTTCAGATAAAGTATACCTATTTATTAAACTGCCTAATTAGTTTAGGTAATTTAGTTTATGCAGAAAAGGTACATTTAAACAATTAAACATGTTTATAACCACAATTAAACTGCTTATTTGAATCGCGGCCTCGGCAGGATTCAACCCAACTTTTTAGATTTATATTTGTCAAAGCACAGTTATAATATGCAACATTCAGTAAAATGCAATTGATTTGAATTCCAAATACTATCGAAATATACTGTTAAATCTAAATAAAATCATTCACTAAAAATAGGGCGAATACTTTTACCTACACTAATTAAACAAACTTAATAAATATAATCAAGTTGTTTTACTTGGAGCAGGTAAGCTCAAATAAATTGATGACTCAATCCAAGTAAACGGTTTAATAAATTTAATTAAACGATTGCGTGTCTTAGATACAAGTAAACTGTCTTAGAAATCGGAGTTTAATTAAACTAACTAAACTTGTAAGCTATGACATAGGTGATTGAAGTTTCTAATCAGCCTAGTTAAAATTTTAATCGGTTTGATTCAAAATTTATTACAATGAACAAATTGAATCTTAGTTTCCTTCTTCAGCCTAACCTTCACGGTCTGTCGATGGTATGGCGTCGTCCAAGCGCGTATCATACTCGTATACAGGGTGACTTTGAAGTTGAGTCATCAATTTTCAGATAATGATTGTAGAAGGAAGATAAACCAAAATATGTGTGTAAAAATAAAAAAAATAAAAAAATTATTTTACCTTGTTTTATAAAGTATCCTCCCGACAAGTATTTCAGTGCGGACCTGTATTTGATCGTACGGTCTTGGAGAACCGGCATGCTCTCCCCTGTGAGGTCTTAAGTCACCTGATTCACGAGCCCTTTGTACTACATTAACAAAGGATGTCCACAAGTTCAGCATTTTCGTAAACATGTGCCATTTTTTATTTCGTTTGAGCCACACAACAAACACCGCTATTCACTCACGCGTTACCGACTGACACATTGACGGAATACAACTGAATAATAATTGTAGTAAAAACATCGTTTCAAATTCTTTCGCTTTTTTGTTTCCGATGCGATGAACCGATAAGGCGGATTATATCCGTTGTTGCCAAACACGAGCACATAATATTATTATTGAGACAGGGCGGTACTCAAACTTCTAAAGGGCTATAACTTTGTTACTTTAATTTTACCAGAAAAATGTTAAAGGAAAAAACATTTCTTTTGATCAGATCTACTCGCTGTTAAAATAAATGACTCAACTTCGAAGTCACCCTGTATTTATGAATGCTTTTTTTGAATATAGTGAACGCTGAAAAGGATTGAAGTAATGGGGGTGGATGGTGGAGTAGTGATGGGACTATTTATCTGAAATAAAAGAAATTACTACTTAACAATGAACTATTCTCATGAACAGTGCCGCAGCAATTTACATTGTATGTTATATACATATAATTTTGAGCAATCTTTTGTGTAAACAAGAAAAAACAGCTTGTATAGCAGTATTCTATACCACAGTATTACCATCCAAAATGCAACTTTGAAGCTCTATAAAATAGCAAGCAGACGGTTTCTTAAAGAAAAATTGATATTTTCGTGCAAGTTGCAGCCTGATCTTCCATTTTAAAATAAGAAATGTAATATTTGCGATATGCGCTAAAGTATAGTTCAGCCCCAATATAACCATAAAACAGTAGTGGGTAGTAAAAAAAATCACGGGGGTCAATCGTCGCCAGTTCTTACATAAATCCACCGATGTGTGAAAAATCCATAAGCGCCACACGCGTATCGTTCAAGCTTCGACCAGTTGTCGCATTGGTACCAAATGTGGTACTTTCTCTCCCGCCCCACGCTAATCGCGAGGTACCATGCGGATCTGTCTATAAAGCACACCTGCTATCAGGCTCCCGTACTGTCTGTCCGCCGTCCGGTGCGTTCAAAGTACTACCCGAAGTACTATCCCCTTAACAGATCAACATGCATCACTATCTCTCGGTAAGTATCGGTGCAATCAGTCAGTGAATGAAGTGATAAAGTGACCCTTCCTCTAAAACGGACGTTTTTGCATTTTCTGCAACTCCATTATCGCCAAGTGTAAATAGTAGCTCAGGTATCTATCAGGCCGTAGTGCAGGGAACGTGCAGTGTTAGATGTGGCGATTATGTGTTTTGATAGTGGGATAAGTTTTTGCGCAGTTCTCTAATTTTTATTAGTGTTCTTAGATATTTGTAAGGCTTTGTACCTTATACCAGGCGCTGAGAGGAATGGAGTGTGCAAAATGAATGATGAACAGATATCAAGTGAAATAGGGTAGAAGAATAATACTCCGTATCTTGCCTTTGATAATCCGGTTAGACCATACAATTTGTATACAGGGTGTCGCATCGGGAACTAAATCGATAGATATGATATTTTTGAAAATTTGGGAGTAAAGACATCATTGGAAAAGCATAAAAATACCCCAAAACTGCTATTTCAATAGCTTTATCATTAACTAATTTTATTCCTTTGAATCTTAGGCTTCACCCAACCGAAATTTTTGAAATTTTCTTTTGCTCGTTTAGCCGTTTATGCGTCTGGTCTTCTTTTTTCTTGATATCTATGAGCAAACACATGACATGTTCTTGATATCACTCTGTTGCATTCACCATAAATAATAAATAGTATTCGTAAGTGAAATTTAAATGCGCGGGCATGATTTTTATTAGTAATTTATTTAAATAAACTATCAACTGTAGGACATTATTATAAAGTGACGTTTTTGTAGAGCGCAGTTGTTTATTCTCTGCGTCCCGCCGTCATAGCCAACTAGTTAAAAAACTAAATCTGTACTTAACGCGTTTTACAATAGAAAAGTAATAAATTACAAATTACTCGAAAAATAAACACTTCTGGGATAGATAACCCTGTATAAAGTTACGCTAATTTTTAATGCTTGATGCGATAAACTTATAAAAATAAGGAGTTTTTACTTGGCAATTTTTGGCATTCAATTTTTATACTAATTTTTTGATCACCCTGTATAAATAATTATCGAAATATCATACAAAGTCTATTAAACTATATCCCTGTTTAACAGAAAATCAATCCACATTAAACAATAAAGTGTTCTACATAGGGGTAATGAACAATTATTTTAGGGCCTGAAAACGTAATTATTGACATAAAATTTCAAATATGTCAAAAACGGTTAGACTTGGGTATGTAGGAGATTATACATGAAATGTGATTAGAATTTCATGTAGAATCCGAATATTGAGTAATATACAGAATGCCCTATTTAAAATAAGCAAATTGGTATCAACTTTAGGTGTAACCGGAAGTGCCACTATCTTGAATATATACTAAGTGACATATAAATCTGAACACCCAGTTTAAATGGTTTTATTTTAATAAAATTTGTATAAGTACTTAATGAAGCATAATAAGTAAATGATAAAAATTTCAAAATGATTGCACTGCTTTAAAGCCCTTTGATCTTTAGTAATGTGTGGATGCACCCTGATGTGCTTACGCATTCTCCAATGCGCCTAGGCATGCTTCTGATCAGGTGGTCAATGTCCTCCTGTGGTATCTCATTCCAGGCAACCACCAACTCCTCTCGAAGTGCTTCTAGAGTCTGAGGAGGACGTTGCAAATTGAGCAATCTCCTACCCATCATATCCCACACGTGCTCAATTGGGGATAAGTCGGGAGATCTTGGCCATGGTAACAATGTGACATCATTATGTTGAAAGAAGTCTATTGTGACTCTTGCAACATGTGGTCCGGCATTATCTTGTTGGAAAGTTGGATCTGCCAGGGTGTCAAGACAGGGTAAAAGATGGGGTTCTAGAACTTCGTGGATATAACGCTGCGCGTTCATGTTACCTCTGATGAAGATTAAAGGTGACCTGGAACCATAAGCTATAGCACCACAAACCATAACTCCAACAGTGAGATGAACATGTCTTTCAACAAAAAACTGTGGATTCCTCCTCCTTCTAACCCTGGCACGACCATCGTGCATGCCTAAACAAAATCTAGACTCGTCACTAAAGACAATACTGTTCCATTCCTGATCACAGAGTGACCGTTGTCTGCACCACTCAAGGCGATTACGTCGGTGTTCTCGAGTTAAAGGGAGGACCCAGTGTGGCCGGTATGAAAACAAGCCAAAACTTCTCATTCGTCGGTAAACACTTCGCAGGCCAATAGGTCTTCCGTGTTCTGCAAACCATTCATTTGCAATGGACCTGGTAGTGGAGAAACGGTCCCTTAAGGCCAATAATCTTAGGCGGTGATCTTCACGGTCTGTTCTTCTACGGCGGCGTCCAGTGCCCCTTGCTCTTTGCGTACGGCCTTCTCGAAGCCATGCCTGACAACACCTAACCACAGTGTCTACACTTTGCACTCTAACTGCAATTGCCCGAAAAGAAAGTCCAGCTTCCCGAAGTCCGACTATACGGCCCCTATCAAACTCACTAAGTTGACGAAATTGTACAGGTCTCCGTACTCTAGGCATCGTAACCGATCGTAAAGGATGTCAATAACCAAAATCCGCCAACGTTGATTCTTTACTGCGGCTGAAATATCATTTTTAGAGCGTTAGTGAATTAAAAAAAGCAGTATAAATACCGGAATGTCCAACTGATAAGGCTGAACATTTTTTCACTTGTTATTCACAGTAAGATAAATACATTCACCAACTTTTATTAAAATAAAACCATTTAAACTGGGTGTTCGGATTTATATGTCACTTAGTATATGTCAAAAACGGTTAGACTTGGATATGTAGGAGATTATACATGAAATGTGATTAGAATTTCATGTAGAATCCGAATATTGAGTAATATACAGTGTGTCCAATTTAAAATAAGCAAGTCGGTATCAACTTCCGGTATAACCGGAAGTGCCACTATCTTGAAAATATTCGAGCTGCCATTGCCCCATCGACATTAGTATACTCCCAAATTTTCAAAAATATCATATGCCTACTTTTCGAGAAATCTATCGATGGAGCTCCCGATACCCACCCTGTATACTTAGCATGCTCTTGTGTACAATTTTTGAGACTTGGAAAAGCAACGCTGAGGTTATATTAATTTCATATAGAGTAGAATTAAGCTTTTTAAGAATAACTTTGGATCAAACAAACTGATATCGTCGGCCTGGTCAATTATGCCGCAGGAAGCAAAATCGGAGGAGGCGAGTTTTATCGAATTTTTATGACTGCGAGAAAAATCAAAAGAGTCATTGAGACGTCCTTTGTAGTGTGTGAAAAAACGTTTGATTTTGATTCGATTTTTTAATAATTACAAAAAATTGATAAAAGCAGTCACCGCCTTGAGTTACCTAGAAGACATCATTTTAGAGTCAAAATGTAAAATAAACACACTAATGGCCTTATTGTGGTAAATCTAAATGTTTTCAATGAAATTAATTTATATTATTGATGTATATAATTAAAATCAGTTAAGAAATAACCTCAAATGCACTAGCGGCGCGTTGCCCGCGCTCCGCGACTCAGATGAGGAAATTCCGGAATGAAAAGACAGCTGCCACGCGTGGAAACGCTTATATACAGGGTGGCCAATATATAATTGACTGATTTAAATTGTGCACCATTTTTAATACACGCATTCCAGTACGTGACGCCGTAGTAGTTCAAAGCACATGTGTGTCCAATCCATCATGGAGTGCTACACGATCCCACAACACGTCCGTATTGTTAAAACGTTTCGCTTAAATAATGAGTCGATTGTTGCAACGATTTTGGTCGAAATAATTTGCCCAGTGTCAACACCATTGTAAGTTATTCTACAAGATGTTAACTTAGCACTTAGTAGTACGTGTTGCCTAAACGTCATCAGGCTTGTTATCAATCTTTGGTTCTGATGTGATGTAAAATCTGCTTCTGAGATGGCATTTCTGGAGGTCTAAGCTGTAAGTTGTATGTGTTGATGATAATCACATTGGGTTCTTGTCTCAAATACGCTTAATTGAGATTCAAAGCTAGAAATTAGTTGCGCATCCACTTCTTCTTATCCATTCTGGAAATTACGTATGCAAATTTGCTGAATTTCAAAAATGAGAGAGCTAAGAAATAATTATATTCACTGTACACAGTCGAATTACAAGCAATATACAAGCTAACAGTAATTACACACAACGCGGGCGCGGTGATGATTTCCCGTAATTGAACATAACCTCTCTTCAGAAAGCACAACATATAAATAACCCGTCATATTCGGCATATTCAGTAATGATTTTCTCACACAGCAAATATCGCTGATTTTATACACATGCAGACCAATACACATTATCATCCAGATGAGATCTTGCTATTCAACCAACTTTCTTCCCAGAAATAAAAACTACAGACCCGGATCGCTCAGACTCACAAAACTATGCAACCAATAATGCGTAGTTTAGTTGAGTGATTCCTCCATAGATGGACGCTGACAACGATCCTAGTGACCAAACGTAGAATGACTGTTTGCGTCCTAAAAACTACCTACAGTATATTCAGATAAGATATAGACCGGACATAAACAAGACCACGTGATCATCGAACGCTGTAACATTCGGCAGGGACGTATTAAGAGTCACGCAGTACATATTTTAGATAGTAGATGCTGCTTTGCGTAACTTTGTAGTAAATTCACAATTCGATGTGTATACGATTGGTGATGGATATAGGATCATGTGTGGGTGGGGTAAGAAATATATAATGATGTAAATATACATAAGGGTTTCAAAATTTTCGCTTCGATTTCCAGCTTCGGATGCCGCCTGATGTTTGATGAAATACAGTCGAATATAATCTCAAAATGGCGTTTAAATTAGCCTAAATTAAAAATAATCGTATATCTCTTAAAATTGCTTTTAGAATATTGATTAGTATATTTTTTGATTTCTAGGTAAATATGTAACCAAGTTAAAACGTTCAAAACGTAAAAAAATGTGCATGGTTGAACATTGTCAGAAAGTAGATTCTTGAATAGGTTTTACCAAAATGGGTTCAAAAATGTCAATAATTAATTAAAAAATACAGTAGCTTTATAATTACTTATAACTTACCGAATTTGATGAACGACATCTTTTATTGGAAAGATGAGCTTGATGAGCTTTCATCATCGCTACTGCCTGAAGCACCAACGTCAATAATGAATGGCTCGACTTGTTCCTCTAAAATATTGTCCAGTTCCCACATTCTCTTTTCAACTTTGTCTTTCACGTGCTTAATACAGTTTTCCCATTTTTGCGCTGTTATTAATTCTAGTGCTTCTTTGAAAAGTCCTTTGAGGTCACAAAATTTAAAAGTTGTATTGTGCTTAGCTATATAATTTTTAACCTCTGCCCATATGAGCTCAATGGGATTGAGCTCGCAATGGTATGGAGGTAAACGGAGCACAGTTTTATTTTGACTTGCTGCCATTTCGTCAATGGCGTATTTTTGATATTCCGCCTTGTGATCCTTGACAATTCTTAATAATTGTACTTTCAGCATTGCTTCTTCAAAGTTGATATTTTTCGAGCGGAGCCAATTTTGAACATCAACTTTCCTTGAAGCCGTTGTTGGGACCTTCTCCATTTTTCGAGAATGATAAGGCGCATTATCCAACACAATTACTGCGTTTTCCTCTAAGTTCGGTAAAATTTTTGAAAACCACTGTTCAAACGATTCGCCATTCATTTCCTCGTGGTAATCTCCAGTTTTCTTAGACTCAAGGCACCACAGACCGTCAACAACAAATCCATCCTCACTGCCAATATGGCAGATAATGAGCCTTTTCCCTTTACCTGGAAATCGAAGTACTAACTGGTGTAGATTTATTTCAATAAGCGAACCTTTTTCAAATGTTTTCATCACATTCAGCGAAAAAACATTGAGACATGAGTATCAGATTACTATAATTGGGATTATTTAGTCATATTGAAAGAAAGAATATTGAACGTCGTATGATTACTCAGCGCTGCACAATTTAATTTAAAGTTATAAACCTCTAAAAAATGAATGATCAGGAACCTGAAATACGCGCAAATATTAATATTAACAAATTATAACTTTATAAAGCTTAAAGTATGAATTAAAATGATTAGAAATATTAGGAACGGTACACAATATAAAACTTAGTAACTTTTTTTAAGTTTATAATATTCGACATATTTTAAGATTATATTAAAAAATTATTGAAATATCGAAAACACATAGAAACATGGCTTAAAAAAGTTCTAACAAATGAAAATGACAATAAAACATCCACGCATTTTATCGAAAGTTATAAAAGTTTTGTTACTTGTAATATGTTTTATCTGCCCCCTGGAATTAATGTTTAGAACCTTGTTACCAAGGTTTGAAAAACATCCGATTGTTGTCTATTACTCGTATTTACCTGCTGGATTTTTTAATCCGGTGGACAGTCCATCTAGAAAGGCCCTCCTGGATGAAGTTACAGAATCATCAACCCATACTTTACTTGTAGTGTGTCCTGCGTTTACCCATGTTTCATCAAGGTAATAAATCTTCCTGTTTTGATTTCTATATTTCCCAATTTTTGTTAAACAATCCCTCCTCCATAGCACAATTTCTTCTCTATCCAGTAGTAAACTATTACGACCCCGTTTTTTCCATTTGAAATTTAAATGCTTCAGTAACGCATGGAAAGTTGATCGTTTGAAATTTTCCAACGTTGTATCTCCATTTACCTCCTGCAGTACTTTATCTATAGTAGGTATTTCATTCCTAAAGAAGAATTCGTGCACTTTCCTCCTAATCGCATGCTTATCAGCTTCATCCAATGATTTAACAATACTTTTGCGATGTTTACTGGTCATTGGCTCAGAAAAGGTGTGATTTTTTTTGTATTGTCTTAACACATTAAACACTGATGCGCGACACACCCCAACTTTGTGAGAAACCTTCACAACAATTTCTTTGATGGTTGATGCCTCGTTCTCCTCGCGCTCGATCTTATATATATTCAAAATGACCTCTTTCATTTCTGCACTCAGGTGTCTTTTTTTAGAGCGTTTCCTAGGTGGACTACAGGAGTTTACAACTTCATCGGCAGTATCTGTACTACTGGGCATTTTGCGCAAGCAGTTGATAACAATAACAAGGTATAACAATAACAACGACAAACTCAACAACTTAATAAGATAACAAACGAAAACGTCCAAAGAAATATCAAATTGCAATGATGCACACGACATACGTAACACGTCTGAACCTGAATGTGACTCTGCCTTGATACGACTGCTCTGCCGCTCGGCATAGGCATTTAATTGCGAATTGACCAATGAGGGCTCCTGTTTTACGTCGAGACGGCGGCGTTAGCGTGAAAATCACCCGAACCTTTTGTTTACATTCGGTCTATCTCTTATCTGAATATACTTGTAAAGTGCATTTCGTACCGGCAAGCGGAAATGAACTTTCGCCCTACCTTAAAAGTCACAGCCTGCTAGAAATAAATTCGGCGAATTATTCGACGGATGTCTTTTCGCCAATCCAGAACCAATTAAAACAGACACACATTTGCATCCAAGTAGAGAGACAGCGTATTGTCATGGCCAGCTATGTGTTGAAATTTATTTGGCACTTTACGTAGAGACTCTGATAATGTTGTATACAGAGTGTTGAACGTATTTACGTATTTCTGGCTAAAAAAATTGAAATTACGGAAACGTAATAGTAGCGAATAATACGAAAAAAAAGTCGTTTATATGATCTTCTCAAAGTTTTTGACACAGAAAAACGGGAAAAATCATAATTTGTAACTTGGAACCTAACTTATCTTCAGAAAGGACAACATATAAATAACCCGTTTGACAGTTTGGCCCTTTGGCAGCATATTCAGTAATAATTTTCTCACATAGCAAATATCACTGTTTTTATACACATGCGGACCATTACACGTAATCATCCAGATGCGATCTTGCTACTCAACCAACTTTCTTTCTTTTACATCTTCTCAACGATAAACACTACTTGCCTTTCTGCAACCAACAATGCATGCTTGAGCGTATCGTGTCATTGAGTCATTCCTCCATAGATGGACGCTTTGGAATGAACTAATTGCACACTAAAAACTACCTAGTCTGCAAGATGACGTTTTGTCGTTTTTTTACGTTTTTTAGGTTTTTCACATAACTTGGAGGAGAACCTTTTGAATAGCATTGTATATCATGAATCGTTTTATCTATCAGATACATTACAATACAATATGATACATTTGGGTCAAAACAATGTCGGTACTTTCTAACTATAGTATCTTAAGATGTATTAGATAATACCTTATATGCATTACATGTATTAATTTCGTGTTAAATAATCTGTCACCTGAACCATTTCCTTAAGTATGAGTTATTATGAAAACCTGTCTTGCACATAAGATCTTATATTCCGTATACAAGTGGTAAATCGACCATTACACAGATTGTTTACAGGAAGAAATTATGCGGTCTGATAACTTCAAGCCAGTGTGCGTTGAATACGATAACAATTATCAGTTAAACATACCGAATAATTTATTCATTTTATCAATATTCACGATCCATGATTTTATAGAAAGAAACTTTTTGATATGCGCTGGTTGCATATAAAGCTGACGAATTTCTCTTCTGTTTTGGATAATACAACAATTAAAAATGACGTCGAGGAGATTGTCTCTATACTTTCTAGGCCTTCGTTGGAAGTTTCAAATCGTTTCAAAAGGCAAAATGGAATCGTGATTAGGTAGGTTCACTTAGGTACCATGAATCTTAGACCATCTGGCAACGTCGCCCCTCCCTCTACCACATCCTCAGATGAATCCCAGTCCTCAGGCTCATATGCGGTGTTGTCAAACCTCCAGATTTTTCGGTATTTCTACAGAATACTGAAAATACTGAAAACGAGCGTCTTTTATGCATTTTTTCAATCGTAACTTGTTGACAACAGCTTTTAAATAAAACTGTATGTGAATATTCCACTTTTAAGTAAGAATGGAGTGGGTGATTACTTTTTTTATCACTTTCTTCAAAAAATCTTTGCTTACTGTACGACCTTACGAATGGACCTAAATAACTTTTCTTATTTTTATATTTTTCTAGATTGTAGGAGTCTGCTTAGGGCTGATCACCCTCTGCCAGAGCCAAGGTTACAACCAAGATCAAGACAGGTATAATTACAATACACCGCCGCCTCCCCAGATTTTAACGCACAAGCAGGCTTTGAATCACGATGGAAACTTCAAGTATTTGTTCACGTCAGAAAACGGCCTAGCACAAGTGAGTATGCGTGAAAAGCGATGAATTAAATATATTTAACGGATTTGCAATTTGTCTTTCACTAAGCGCGTGGTAGGGTGAGCTACTCTTCAAATTGGATATTATATATCACTGTCTATTTACTTTTCCGTATAAATGATAGGGGTGAATCCCGGCTGAACCTTAGAGGTAACCTTTGAAAATTATAAATGAAGTGGCTTTCGTGTTGTATTTACGAGTGTATATTAGGGTCTACCAGAATCGGTAATCAATTTCTTTGATCTATAGTAAAACTCAAACAAATTATCTGATTCCTTATAAAAAAATGAAAAATAGTGTTTATATCTCCGAAACGAAGCAATATTTTCATTAAAAATCATTGGACCGATTGATTGATTCAGTGATTAATCGATTCATTGATTGATGGATTGATTGATTGATTTATTGATTGACTGATTGATTGGATGATTGATTGGTTCATTCAGTATTTGATTGGTTCATTGGTTCATCGATTGACTAATTGATTGATTAATGGATTACTTGATTACTTAATTGAAAGATTGTAAGATTCATTCATTATTTGATTGATTCATTGATCGATTCATCGATTCATTGATCTATTGATTGATTAATTGACTGACTAATTGATTACTTGATTGCATGATTAATTGAATTATTCATTGATTGATTGATTGGTTCATTGATTCATTATTTCAGTATTTGCTGATTCAATGATTGATCAATTGATTCGTTGGCTGATTAATTGATTGGTTGATTCATTCATTATCTGATTGATTCGTTAATTGATTCATTGATCTATTGATTGATTAATTGGCTGACTGATTGATTACTTGATTGCATGATTGATTGATTTATTCATTGATCGATTGATTGATTGATTTAATGATTCATACATTATTTGATTGGTTCATCAATTAATTATTTCATTGATCGACTAATTGACTGACTGATTGTTGGGTTGCTTGATTACTTAATTGATCTATTGATTCATTGGTTGATTGATTGATTTAGTATTTGGTTGATTCATGATTGATTCAGTCATTATTTGATTGGTTCATGGATTGATTCATTAATTGGTTAATTGACTGACTCATTGCTTGTTTTATCAACTGATTCATTGATGGACTGCTTGATTAGATGATTGTTTGATGGGTCATTGATTCAATGATTCAGTGATTGATTGATTGATTAATTGACTGACTGATTGATTACTTGATTGCATGATTAATTGAATTATTCATTGATTGGTTGATTGGTTCATTGATTCATTATTTCAGTATTTGCTGATTCAATGATTGATGGATTAATTCATTGGTTGATTGATTGATTGGTTGATTCATTCATTATCTGATTTATTCGTTAATTGATTCATTGATCTATTGATTGATTAATTGGCTGACTGATTGATTGCTAGATTGCATGATTGATTGATTTATTAATTGATCGATTGATTGATTGATTTATTGATTCATTCATTATTTGATTGGTTCATCAATTCATTATTTCATTGATCGGCTAATTGACTGACTGATTGTTGGGTTGCTTGATTACTTAATTGATTTATTGATTCATTGGTTGATTGATTGATTTAGTATTTGGTTGATTCATGATTGATTCAGTTATTATTTGATTGGTTCATGGATTGATTGACTGATTCATTGATTGACTGATTGGTTGGATGATTGTTTGCTAGATTGGTTCATTCAGTATTTGATTGGTTCATTGGTGCATCGATTGACTAATTGATTGATTGATGGATTACTTGATTAGTTAATTGAAAGATTGTTTGATTCATTCATTATTTGATTGATTCATTGATCGATTCATCGATTCATTAATCTATTGATTGATTAATTGACTGACTGGTTGATTACTTGATTGCATGATGAATTGAATTATTCATTGATTGGTTCATTGATTCATTATTTCAGTATTTGCTGATTCAATGATTGATGGATTGATTCATTGGTTGATTAATTGATTGGTTGATTCATTGATTGATGGATTGATTGACTGATTCATTGATTGACTGATTGGTTGGATGATTGTTTGCTAGATTGGTTCATTCAGTATTTGATTGGTTCATTGGTGCATCGATTGACTAATTGATTGATTGATGGATTACTTGATTAGTTAATTGAAAGATTGTTTGATTCATTGATTATTTGATTGATTCATTGATCGATTCATCGATTCATTGATCTATTGATTGATTAATTGGCTGACTGATTGATTACTTGATTGCATGATTTATTCATTGATCGATTGAATGATTGATTTATTGATTGACTGATTGTTGGGTTGCTTGATTACTTAATTGATCTATTGATTCTTTGGTTGATTGATTGATTTAGTATTTGGTTGATTCATGATTGATCGAGTCATTATTTAATTGGTTCATGGATTGATTCATTAATTGGTTAACTGCCTGACTCATTGCTTGTTTTATCAATTGCTTCATTGATGGACTGCTTGATTAGATGATTGATTGATTGGTTCATTGATTGGATGGATGGTTTTTCAGGGCGAGAGCATCGCTCCGGACGGCAGTCGAAATGGAGGTTACAGCTACGTGGACCCGACAGGGCGCAAGATCAGCGTTAAGTACACCGCCGGCAAAGAAGGCTTCAGGATTCTGGAGGCCGACCATCTGCCGAAAGCGCCTCAGCCGATAGCGCCGGTTCCCGGGCATCAGCCGGCGCCGATCGCAGCGCCACCTGCGCCGCACTACGCGCACTACGGCGCCGCGGGTGGACAGCAGGATGACGGGTCGTACAAGCCGCATTTGTACGAGAGCAGACAACAGGTGGGTGACGGGACGGTTTTCGACTTTATATTATTATTCCATGAAAATGTCGCACAATCCTGAGCCCACTTGACTCGGTGTACCGAGTATCATCTTCCGGTGGCGCCCTTGAAAAGATTGTTTGCAAAACAGTCACAGTTTCTCTAGCTATGTGCTAGAGCCACATTTGTTATAAGTTGCTTATTAAGAGTCACGACGTTACACTTGAATCTCCTCGTTAGGGAATATCATTTGGCCTCCAATATCACCTGATTTAACAGCCGCAGGCTTTGTCATTATGCCAATAAACTGAGCACTACATAGCTGCTGAAGAGCATCCCAAATCCCAAAACCTATAGATGAAAAACGTGATCAACAGGGCTCAAAATTGTGCGAGGATTTATGCGACATTGTTATTTACTTACTGACTAATCTTCGAATGCGTATGCTGATACTAAATCTATATTTCATCTTCTCAAGACTAACCGTAACATAACTAACTATATTCTTCTCCAGCAACCCACAAAACTCCACTATACTCAAGCAATCGCTCCAAGACAGCAAAATGACGAAGTGGCTTACAAGCCAAGAACGTACCAAAGAGAAGCTACCAGGCCTCAGGTAACTATTTAAAAGGATCTCAAATCATGAGACCCAAGCTCAGCATCAAGACACTTAGTCGATAGCTGATTTAAAGCTGTAGATTTATATGCTTGGTAGTTAAGATGAGATATTCCTCAAAGTGTACCAAAGAGAAGCTCCTAAGCCTCAGGTAACTATTTAGAAGATTCGCGAATCCTGGGAATTAAGCTCAGCTTCAAGCTACCTTGTCAATAGCTTTAGTGCTGTAGATTTAGCTGCACAGGAATTATTTCCCAAAGAGTATCAAAGAAAAGCTACCATTCCACAGATAACTATTAAAAAGATCCTCAAATCGTGGGACTCAAGCTCAGCTTCGAGTTAAATAGTCATTAGCTGCTTTAGAGCTGAAGATTTATCTGCTTGGTAGTTTAGATGAGGTATTATCCAAAGTGTCCCCAAGAGAAGCTTCTAGGTCGCAGGTAAGGGTCTCAAATCTTGGGACCCAACCGAGCTTCAAGCCACATAGTCAATAGCTGCTTTAGAACTGTAGATTTAGCTGCTTGGTGGTTTAGACGGTATATTTTGTCCAAAGTGTACCAATAAGAAGCAACTAGGCCACAGGTAACAATTCCAAAAGTTCTCAAATTCAGGGACCTGAGCTCAGCTTGAAGCTACATAGTCAGAGGCTGCTTTAGAGCTGTAGATTTTAGTCTTTGGTAGCTTATATGGAATATTGCCCAAAATTTTTCTAAGAGAAGCTCTACTAGAACGCAGGTATTCAGAAGGTTCTCAAAGCCTGATAGCCAAGCTCAGCTTCAAACTAACCTAGTCAGAGGCTGATTTAGAGCTGTAGATTTTAGTTTTGGTAGCTTATATGGGATATTGCCCAAAGTGTTTCAAAGAGAAGCTACTAGATCGCAGGTATTCAGAAGATACTCAGAGCCTGGGACCCAAGCTCAGGTTCAAACTAGTCAGAGGCTGCTTTAGAGCTGTAGACTTTAGTCTTTGGCAGCTTATATGGGATATTGCAGAAAGTGTTTCTAAGAGAAGCTACTAGATCGCAGGTATTCAGAAGGTTCTCAAAGCCTGGGACCCAAGCTCAGCTTCAAACTAACCAGTAGCTACTCTAGAGCTGTAGATTCATCTACCTTGGTAACTTAAATGGGGTATTCTGCCCAAAGTGTGTCAAAAAGAAGCTACTAACTAGGCCGCAGGTGACTGTTTAGAATTGTCTCAAATCTTGGAGTCCAAACTCAGCTTCAAGCTACATAGTCAATAGCTGGGGTATTGATATTGTGCAAATTGTAAAATAGGCTACTAGGCCGCAGGTAACTATTGTAAAAGCTCTCACATCCTGGGACCCAAGCTCAGCTTCAAACTAGTCAGAGGCTGCTAAATAGCTGTAGATTTTAGACTTTGGTAGCTTATTTGGGATATTGCCCAAGGTGTCTCTAAGAGAAGCTACTAGATCGCAGGTATTCGGAAGGTTCTCAGAGCCTGGAATCCAAGCTCAGCTGTAACCTCACCTAGTCTGTAGCTACTTTAGAGCGGTAGATTCATCTACTTGGTAGCTTAAATGGTGTATTCTGCCCAAGGTGTACCAAATAGAAGCGACTAACTAGGCCGCAGGTAACTGTTTAGAAGGGTCTCAAATCTTGGGACCCAAGCTCAGCTTCAGGCTACATAGTCAATAGCTGGCGTATTGATATTGCCCAAAATGTTCCCAAGATAGGCGACTAGGCTGCTTTAGTGCTATAGATTTAGTCGCATAGGAATTATTTCCCAAAGATTATCAAAGAAAAGCTAACAGGCCACAGATAACTATTAAAATGATCCTCAAATCGTGGGACTCAAGCTCAGCTTCAAGTTAAATAGTCATTAGCTGCTTTAGAGCTGTAGATTTATCTGCTTAGATGAGGTATTGCCCAAAGAGCACCAAGGAGAAACTACTAACTGGGACACAGGTAACTATTTGGGTCTCAAATCAGCTTCAAGCTACATAGGCATCAGCTGCTTTAGAGCTTTATAGACTCAGATACTTAGTGGTTTAGGAAGGTTAGCCGCCAAAAGGTACCAAATAAGAGAAGCTATAATAGGCCACAAAGCAAATTTTCTTCGATAAACTAAAATATCTTACATCAACCTCGCGTACGATCTATAACTACGTCGTAGTTGCTACTACTTACACTAGGTAATCTTGTAATTTAAAAAAAAACATAACCAATGAGAACAGGAGTCAGCTTTAGAGAGGCGTCTGGTTCAAAGCACTCAACTATTACTTTAATCATGGGCGCCCATTGGGGGGGCAAGGGGGTCATATGCCCCCTCTAGCTTCTGCTTCAAAGCGAAATATTCTTAATAAGACACCCAATCCTTGGGTAAGAAGTGGGTTGTCTGGTTCTCAGCATTTTGGATCCTGCACAACCTGTGAATCAAACATGCCCCCGTTGGATTTTGCTATGTGGCCGTTCATGACCTTTATTATTGCTCCATATCATTATTTGTTATTAACAAAGTACAATTCTGCCAGCAGCTGATCGCCCCCTCACCACCCAAGATTGCAATCCCCCCACCAAGACCAGCCTACCCGCCAATTGGACTCGCCCAATCGGCGAGCAACACCATCGAGGAAAAAGACTACAACGATGAGCCAGGAAAACCGTACAGTTTTGGAAACGGATACGTTTTCGAATTTGGCGGTTAGTTAGTCGCCTGTCTTTACTGTTATAAAGTGAACCGAATTTTATTTAAATATTTTTATGTACCTGGCCAATATTTGAGCCTGCATGGGGGTCTGTGTCTGTGTTTTTGTACGATTGTTTTCTCAAAGAATAAATATTTGTTTATATATTGTACTGTTTTAATAGAGTGTTTGGTACTCTTGTTTTGTTGCTTCGTTATGATCTTATTTCGATTTTGCGCGGTAGACAATCCTCCGTTATGGAAATTAAGAAAGCTTCAGTAGTTACTTTTATCGGAATCCGTGTATATTATAGGAATATTCCGTAGACCAAAAGCTGGACAGGTAAAAATTTGGCTGAACAGGATTGAAAAAGGCCGGATGGATGGCAACTCCATTCATGGCCAAAGAATGACAACTGACAGAACTCTTATTCCCAAGGTTTTGAGCTCGGGAAGAAAACACACTTTTGACGTTCCAGAAGGTACGTCAAGCAATTACGAACGCTAAAATTGTTACACAGTAATAATACAACGTACACTCTGTAACAACTTACGAATGCAGCCTTGGTCGTCAAATTCCTTGCTGCCACCTTTATTTTCTTTTCCATTATATTGAACGACTTTTCAATTTAAGTAAAGAACTTTGATAGACCTACAGCATTCACCAATATAGGTTCTGTTCAAGAAAAATCAAAATTAAATGTAAAAATTCAAAATATTTCTAGCACGAATTTGTTGTGTGGTGTTAGATAATCCATGAAGTTGTCTATTGATATAAATACCGATAATCAGAATGACCTTAATAAATTTCTGAAGAGTGTTCATATCAAACATACAAGGTAATCCCTGTATCACCCCGGTATCTACTACCTACCTTTCAAGTACGAAAAGATTTTCAGCTGACAATCTTATGCAACCAGTCATGCAGGATGCAGTACGGCTGCTTGCAAGACATTAAGAATAAAACAGTGGAGTGTAACATTGGTTGCATACACCTTTTCTATTCAAGGATTTGTCTGGGTGTATACTTATATTTTGTATTATACAGGGTAATAATAGGTATCTAAGGACGGAAAAAAATTGTTGAATAAAATAAAAACAAGATAGTGGTGGTTTTTTATGATACTACTTATACATTTTCTGAATCATGTTATAGAGAAGTTTTTTTAAAACCACAATATATATATTTTACTATTGATTAACGTGAAAGGGGGTAGTGGAAGGTCGAAAACATTATTAAAACATGGATTAGAGGAACCGAAAAAGAATACAAAATTTTAGAGTCATCTGTTAGATAGTAGCCATAACAAACACTAACCCTTTTCAATATATTGTTGGCCTCTAGTCAATGCCTAAAGATACCCAATTAAAATAGGCAATAGAAAGGTCAAAAATTTCCAAAACCCTAATTATTTCTAATGTCTACTTGATGTTAATCAACGATTTTACATAGGAAACAGATGAGGGTTCATTGAAGCATATTGAATTTTTCAAATTAAAAAGGTATATATTTATTACTTGTAAATACATATAAACTAATTTTCATGACATTTCATTTCAAAATTTGTTTCATCCAGGTATGGGAATTCTGGAAAAACATCAAGACCTGCGAAAAATAAACTGTTATAGCATTGCCTAACGAAGATATATATGCTGCATTGTGGCGTCCAAAAAGGGATCTGAAAAAACAACGCCATCTATGAGGCAGTATGAGAACACAAAAATAAATTTAGAAATCCACTTTAAAAATAGTTATAGTGTTTGGTTATGCTACTGTCACATAGATGGCGCTGGATCTCCTATTTCCTTCTTAGCTCCACTATAAACCCTATTTTAATTAAATACCTCCAGGTGGAAAACGCCAATCAATGCGTGAAGATACCCATTCAAAATGGTAATTATTAAAGAGCCAAAAACTGGAGATCGTAGCGCTATTTATGAGATACAGGCAGAACCAAAGAATCTTAACTTTTCAAAGACCTAGCCTCAAGAACAGTTTTGGGTGCTGCCACCCAGACTACATTATCCATTCTCGAAGGCTGTCCGACTGATCGATGGCTTTTCTCTAACGGACAGTCTCGGGATCCTTTCGCACCGATGGGCTATCGGTGATTTAGCTCTCCTATAATACTGGGGTGGAGCTACAAGTATCAATTGATTTTTTATATACTAAGTGACATATAAATCCGAACACCCAGTTTAAATGGTTTTATTTTAATAAAAGTTGGTGAATGTATTTATCTTACTGTAAATAACAAGTGAAAAAATTTTCAGCCTTATCAGTTGGACATTCCGGTTTTTATACTGCTTTTTTTTTAATTCACTAACGCTCTAAAAATGAATATTTCAGCCGCAGTAAAGAATCAACGTTGGCGGATTTTGGTTCTTGACATCCTTTACGATCGGTTACGATGCCTAGAGTACGGAGACCTGTACGATTTCGTCAACTTAGCGAGTTTGATAGGGGCCGTATAGTGGGACTTCGGGAAGCTGGACTTTCTTTTCGGGCAATTGCAGTTAGAGTGCAAAGAAGTGTAGACACTGTGATTAGGTGTTGTCAGGCATGGCTTCGAGAAGGCCGTACGCAAAGAGCAAGGGGCACTGAACGCCGCCGTAGAACAACAGACCGTGAAGATCGCCGCCTAAGATTATTGGCCTTAAGGGACCGTTTCTCCCCTACCAGGTCCATTGCAAATGAATAGTTTGCAGAACACGGAAGACCTATTGGCATGCGAAGTGTTTACCGACGAATGAGAAGTTTTGGCTTGTTTTCATACCGGCCACACTGGGTCCTCCCTTTAACTCGAGAACACCGACGTAATCGCCTTGAGTGGTGCAGACAACGGTCACTCTGGGATCAGGAATGGAACAGTATTGTCTTTAGTGACGAGTCTCGATTATGTTTAGGCATGCACGATGGTCGTGCCAGGGTTAGAAGGCGACGTGGTGAAAGGAGGAATCCACAGTTTTTTGTTGAAAGACATGTTCATCACACTGTTGGAGTTATGGTTTGGGGTGCTATAGCTTATGGTTCCAGGTCACCTTTAATCTTCATCAGAGGTAACATGAACGCGCAGCGTTATATCCACGAAGTTCTAGAACCCCATCTTTTACCCTATCTTGACACCCTGGCAGATCCAACTTTCCAACAAGGTAATGCCCGACCACATGTTGCAAGAGTCACAATAGACTTCTTTCAACATAATGATGTCACATTGTTACCATGGCCACCAAGATCTCCCGACTTATCCCCAATTGAGCACGTGTGGGATATGATGGGTAGGAGATTGCTCAATTTGCAACGTCCTCCTCAGACTCTAGAAGCACTTCGAGAGGAGTTGGTGGTTGCCTGGAATGAGATACCACAGGAGGACATTGACCACCTGATCAGAAGCATGCCTAGGCGCGTTGGAGAATGCGTAGCACATCAGGGTGCATCCACACATTATTAAAGGTCAAAGGGCTTTAAAGCAGTGCAATCATTTTGAAATTTTTATCATTTACTTATTATGCTTCATTAAGTACTTATACAAAATTTTATTAAAATAAAACCATTTAAACTGGGTGTTCGGATTTATATGTCACTTAGTATACTATATACAAATATGTTGTCTATGTGAAACAAAAATCGTTTTAGAACTACGGCATATAAAAACTCATCCAATTTCAACTAAATATACTACTACCTCGAGATCTGCGAGATATATAGAGAGCTACATCAAATTTACAAATAAGGTTTTAAGTACTTGAGCAAGAAATGTATTTACTCTACAAACGAAAAAAAAGCACAAAAAAACTGGTTAGCTTATTACCTTTATAATCTAATCATAATGAACTTGTATTGTTTATCATTTTCTTGTTTATAGTGTTATATTTACATTTATTATGATACTTTAGCTGTGCTACTTTTCTTTTGATCTGCCATATGAACTTTATGTTTAGAATTTGGCTAAATATACTACAACTGCTTCTACTGATATGTCAATGGGCTTTGGTCCTATTCCCGTCGAGCGATGAGCCTGCCAGGCAGACCCGCCTGACTTTGGGCTAACATCCTAACTGTGTCGAACTTCTTACATCCAGAGCTGGTCGGTACGACCGCTACTTTGCATACAGGATACTGATATTACGTAAAATCTACCTGGGGAGGCTTTTTCTAGTTCTACTAACTATTTAGTAGAGACTTCTACTTATGCAACTGCTTCAGTATAAAACAGGACGTCGGAATACAGTATAACGTGGACTATTTTTAAATAGAATAATCAATGTTATTAGTCTTCAATCCAGGCATTTTGCGATACATCCCGCCCAATCTAAAAATACCGATTCAAACCTAATAAAAATCTCTCGATGCTACGGCAATGCGCTAAAATTAGACCTGAAACATTGTCAAAAACGTTTTTTCACCTCGTTCGTTCGCTTTTTTATTTTGACGAAAGAAAGGCGGGAATCGAAGGTTTCCCGAGAACTTGGCAGCATGTCAGGTATGCGCGTGAATTAAGTTCCTTGCCATCATAATATATTTATATGGGACTATGAAACAAATCACTCAGAAAAATCAATTTAGATGTTCTATTTCCAGATTTAATTTATTACTGCTTGAATATAATCCCAGTACCTATTACTATTAGTCTAGGATCTCATTAAGTAGGTAGCCATTACCAAAGAGGCATTACCTGGAAAAACCCAGAATGTTCTATTGTCCAAGTATCCAAGAAACTAAACCTAAACAAATTCAGGCATATCAAGGGATAATCTCGCGATAATCACTGTTTTGGTTTAATGTCTTTCTTGGATAGGCAGACAATAGCATCACATTTCCAAGGGTCTGAAACCAAGCAGGCACAAGGGTAAAACCTACTTGGGGATTTTTAGTTTGAAAACTGGTCTCGGATTGTCAAAAGAGTACACAGGATTTTCGCGGGAATCGGAGTTTCTGACATGCGCAGACCGCACAAGATCTTGTTTCGTTATGGGGGACTTGTGATTTGGAGTTATGAATCAAATTCAAGCGAATAACCAAATGAAAATGGTATTTACCATTTTGGATTGGTATTTACTGATCCGTTCAAGCGAGTGTGGTTATCAGTTTGGTTATAAGATCCGTGACGTCACGAATCAGCTGTTATATGTCATAGTTATCACCGCAAAATTGTGGTATTCACCCAACTCAGGAGAAATGTGACAAGTTAGAATTTTGCCGGGTATTGGATATTGTTATTGTACTTCAGCTTCATTTTTGAGAAAATTGATACAGGCTGACTTCAGTTTTACCATAAAGTGGAGCACCTTATTAGTTATACTCATTACGGTTGTTGGGGACACTTTAAATGTAGTTCCTATGCTTAACAAAGTATCCTGTGTAGCCATATATACCACAAGAATATTAAAATATGGCCATATAAACTCACTAGATGATATCCACCTGTATACGGTTTTGCTAATTTCTTTTTTCATCATTTCTGCTGAATCAATAAATGTTTTCTTTGACATGCGGAAAAATTTAGAGAATTGAAAGTTATCATAGCTACAAAGTCATGGTTCCATCATTAAAAAAAAATCTGAAAAAAACATTTCTCCCATAAATATTATGAAAGGTTTCTTATTTAAACTTTCCATATACAGTTGTCGACGAAAAAGCACCGATTATTAAGTGATAATAAAAATAATCAGAGATTATATACGCGCTATATTTTGAAATTATATTTTCTGTTTGAATTATAAGAAATTTCAGGCTGATGAACTTGATATTTGTCATCTGTTTCATAAACCTGAAATGTCATCTTATTTTTTGCTCTCAAGCTAATGTCGTCAGAATGTAAACCTTACAAACAGAGACAAATTTCGAAACAAATCCCCCTAAATCCGAAATGATTTTCAAATACTGAATCCAAGAAAGTTTCCTTGTTTTCAAACAACTATTAAAGTCAGACTTTTTCGAAACAAATTTTAAACATTATCATACTACCTACCAATTTCTGCATATATATATATATATATATAAACCCTAAATTACTTATTTTGAGGCTTGTAGCAAACTTTTGCGTTTCCTTAATAACTTACAAAGTGGATTTTTTTGTAATTATCGACTCAGTAACGAATATATACGAAATCTACCTTTTCGTGTCATCTCATGATATTTCCAGAAATAATGAACTTTACAAAATTTCTTAAAGTCCTGAGCCATTGGAAAACATTGATGTCCAGTTGAGAATTATTTTTAAAGTCGCAATATTTTTCAGCAAATGATTATACAGTATAAATGATAGTGACTCGATCCCACTGTTTAAAAACACTACAAACTAATTTTTGACGAGCTTTTCTTTAAATCGCATTCAGCTGCCAAGACACAACAAAACTAATCTTTGTGGAACAAAATAGTGCAGGACTCCTTAGAGTAACCAGTAAAAAAAAAAATGACTTCTAAAAAATGTCAGCATCCCTTAAGTTGGAAGATCAAAGGTGTTCCTACTGGTCACTTTGTAATCTTTTTCATAACAAAATGCAATTCCTGTCATTCACTCATCACCATAGATAACCTGGCATATCACGAATCTGGAAATGTAAGAATATACAGGGTAATTAGATGGTTAACATGTTGAGATTAATCAACAAAAGTAAAAAAATGCTGTTTTCACTTTCACAGTTGTCGATTTTGGTAATAGATGGCATTTTGTGCTGTCTTATTTTGATGAGCTTTATAATCTGAATCTAGTAGTCTGCTCAGCTTTCATTCATCATCCACTGAGACCAAGCCTACATCATACTGAGGAGTTGCCAAATAGCATGAAACAATATTACTAGTTTAAAAAGACTTAGTTTTCCAAACAAGAATTTGCTTATTGATAAAACCAAATGTTGGAGCCTATGTTGCAGATGAAGGATCACTGTGGCAAAAACTAGAGCATTGAAAAGCTTTGAAACTGGAGATGAGCATAATATGATTCTTAAGAGTTAAAACAGTGAATCCCATTTTAATTATGTAATTATTCTTGCTTAATTTCTTCAGGATTTAGAAACAACCCAAAGCCCACTATATATCTATATATATGATATTTATCTAAACGAATACCTGCTGGCGAATCTCCATATCCTCTCATTCTGTATTATCAAAGAATTAGTCAAAAGGAAATGTATTCAGAACCTTAGAACACATATTTTCTCATCTCTATTGCCCCTTATGCGAGTTCGAATGCATAAGAATAAATTAAAATATCCAAACAGTGCTCCAAATCGGATTTTTTGAAAACAAATGCAAAATAATTTAATTACAAAACAACAGCTCATCATTGCTTTCAAACAAAAACAAATCGCAAAATATTCGGCGAATGTCAATTTGGTAACCGGAACAACGTCAAAATCATGACTTGCTGGGATCCTAACAATTTGAAAACACTGAACGGTTATAATATAAAAAGGGTATCTACTCACTTCTCTCAAGCCAGCTGATCTGCGTCTAATGAGGGTCGAAAATGCCGAAATCAAACATGTTTGCACTCCGCGTGTTCAAAAATAATCGATAATTATCCAACCGAAACAGTAGATAAATCAGGAAGCGTCACTTGAACTGATCAATTATTGGATTTTGTTGTCATGTGATGTGAAGGCGAGTTCGAGTTGCCTATGGCTTGGCTTGTGAGCGATAAACAGCTGAAAACCAAGCACCTCCTCCCATTTACCTAGCACTTATAGGCCAGGAGTAAGAGATATCGCTAAAGGGTTATGATAATGTATGAAATGTTAAGATAATTTCTCGAAAAAAATTAATCTGCATTCGTCATTTTTTGGAAAAACAGTTGCGTCAGGAATTTTGTCATAAAATCAGCAGTCATCTACCATTTTTTTATATAGACTGTATCTTCACCTTTTTCGAAAAGTCAGTCAATTCATTTTTAGCAAAAATCGGGGTCATCACATTTTTTGTTAATCTACGACCGCAATTTTTCGAGAAAACAGCCTGCTTCCACTGTTTTCCGGAAAAACAGCATAAATATTTATCGTTATTTGAAAAATCGGTACCATATTTCCAAAAATCAGAATTCATCCATTTTTTGGCAAATTACCTGCATCCACCGTTCTTGGAAAAATCTGAATGCACCCACCATTTTTCAAAAAATCAGGATAGATCGGCCTTTTTTGGAAAATCAGATTCATCTACCATTTTATGAAAAGTCATTATCGATCCACCAGTTCTCGAAAAATTAGCATTCATTATCCACCAATTCTTTTGGAAAATGGACATCCACATTTCCAAAAATCTGAATTTATCCATTTTTTGACAAATTAGCTACATTCAGCCGGCATCCAGAAATCAGAATACCTTGGCCATTTTTTAGAAAACAAGAATTCTTCCACCATTTTGTGAAAAATTAGTATCCACTAAATTTCCAAGAATCAGCATTTTTTGGAAATTGACATACGTCCACCACTTTTGCAAATCAGCGTTCATCCTTTTTTTTAAATTAGTAAATCCACTGTATTTTTAAACATAACCTAGCAACCAATGATTTTTCTAAATCTACCTACTTCCACGATTTTTGGGAAAATCAGTCCGCCATCCAACATTTTTTGAAAAATTGGCCGACGTGCGCAATGAACCATTTTTTGGAAAAACAGTGTACTATTTTGACCGGTTAGTTCTCGAATTATTTCCGCTCCGAGGTATCAAATGTAGGTAAAAATAATATCCACTTGGCCAACGTACGATCGTTGAAAAATCGCAATCTAAAATGACCGCACTACAACTCCTAAAGCGCCAGTTTGTCCGACCAAACGTCGGAATAGTCCGAATTCATACGATTGTATAGCTCTGTATCGTGACGTCACATAATTAGAGTAAATACAAAGTAGATGGTGTGGGCATCGTGTGGTGTTGTTTGTAGTGTGCTCTCTGATTAAATGTTAAATAAAAATGGATAATAATGATGTGCAGGTAAATATATCACTTTCTAATGCATTTATATTGATTACAAACGTCTCCAAACGATAAATTCCATTTCAGTTGTATTTTTGGCAATAATTATAATTTTCGATAACCACTTTCTATTAATATTAATTAATTGCTCCTATAATTAAATTGATTCTGTTACGCTTTATCTCGTTGCTTACAATACCTATTTTTTTGCTTTCTGATCCGTTTTATCTGTTCCTTGCTTTGTAGGTATGCCATATTTAGATCTTTTATCTTTTTTTAACACGAAAGACGTTTATTGGAAAATAACACTGGAAATATGATTCTTATGCAACGCAAAAGATTTTTTGTTTCCGTATAACGTTATTGAGGAATACGATAGGTACAAATCTATTTTTCATGCATGACTCAATACATATTTAATTCCAACGTTATAATCTTTTGTTTTGTGGTTTGATTTGTCCCAAAATGTGTTCTTTAATATACGTTTAATCGATTGATGTGAAATCTTTTGTCATTACACGTAGTAGGCTACGGAAATCAATTAAAAGACAATTGAATGTTATGTTTTCGATTGTTTCAGTTGGTGGGGGGGCCCTGCGGTCAACATGGTCCTTATACCTTCTACAAGGCGTTCAAATATACGAAAAACGGAGTGAAACGAATAGTGACTTTGAGTGAGTTCTTTTTCGTAAAAATGTGGCGCGATTCGGACCTTTTGTGTATCGGTGAACTGCAATTATTGTGGACTGACAAAAATAGTGAACAAATGCTGGCGAGTCTTCGTTTGTATTTCCTGCCGGAGAATACCCCCGAGGGGAGGACAGACCATGGCGAGGTAAGCGAATTCCGAATTGGCGACGAGCTTTTCCGAAATAAATAAAACCCGTTGTCGTTTAATTATAAATCGGTTTTTCTTTTGACTATTTTTAATGTAAATGAAGGCTTGGTAGTGGAAATGTAATTCGGGCTACTATGCATAGGAAGCGTACAGCGGTTGGGATTTTGTCGCTTCCTCATAGCACAGCGACATTAGGTAATACGCGGCGAGGAATTCAATGATGAAACTGGTACAGGAATTTCACGGTTTCAGGCTTTCTAACGTTACTGACTAGTATGATTTTTAAGTTTGGCGCATTATACGCCTTTATGGAGGGTGTGCGGTTGAAGAGTTGCAAAAAAGTGTACTTTTTATTTGTGCATCAGGTGCATCATGGAGACACCATAAACTAACATCAAGTTCGAGTGATGATCTAGAAATCTACTATGAAAAGAGTTTGAGTGTTGGCCCTTTTTTATTTCTCTAATACCAATATTAAATGGTTATCAATGATTAACATATTCCACCTGAAGATACCCAATTAGGCACTAGAAAGACCAAAAAGTTATTAAGGTATATGAGACATTAGCGCCATTACGGTAGTAAAATAATCAACGTCGTGTCTTTTAAACTACGGGTTAAGTGTTCAAATGACGATATGACTACTACTAAACTTTTCAAATTGGGCAAGTTCATGATTAATTTTGTCATTAGCTAATTCCAAGTCATCAGGTACTCCTAAATGAATATAAAATCTTAGTATCGTCGGTAAAAAATGTATGCTGCTTGATTTGACATCTGTTTCTAAATCTGAGATATACAATGAAAATAACAGGGGTCCTTGTTTAGTAGAGTACTGTTGATTTAGACGAACTTTTTGAAACCAATTTTCCAGGTAGGTTTGTACAAACGAAAGATGCTTTTCTGCATGTAGACACAAAAAATTGAATTATTAATTAAATTGTGCGAACTATCAAGTATATCAGTCTGTCGTCGTGTCATAGCTACCTGGAATTGTCTGTATAAGCAATATTAACCTTATTTTCACTGATCAATAGAATGAAAGTATAAAAAGATGGATTCTTTTTGGAAAAAACGACTTTTTGGGTTTTGTAAAACGATTTTTCGTTTTTCTTGACCACCCTGTACATCCAAATCTAGAATAAAGCCTACTAAAATAGCTCTCATCGTATGAGAAACGGATTAAAAATTATATGGCAAACGCAAAAATACAAGAAAATTGTTTACGCAAAATTTAGAATGTCAAAAACGGTTTGACTTTGTGTACAATATAATGAAATGCATTTAGAATTTAGAATCTCGCGTGGAATCCAAAAATTGAACAATATACAGGGCCTTCTATTTAAGATGATCCAGATAGTATCACGTTTTTGCAGGAGAATTGCATAAAGAAACCTGTATAATATAATGCAATATAAGACGTCATTTTGTTCGCTACGTAGCCGCTAGTTCATTTCCCGGGCATGAAGTGTATGTCAGCTAGTCAACCGTGACATTTTATAAGAAATCCTACACGAAGTCATAAATAATCGATGAAATGTCACTTTGCGGATGCGGAGATACCACCAATTTGAAAATGTTTTCATATCTATCTCACGTCAACTTTTTGAGTAACAGATCACTCGAGTTCTAAGCTGGACTCTCCTTATTGTGAAAAATGGGTATAAGTACATATAAAGTCATTAAAACAATGGAACTACGCGAAAACCGCGTGTTATTGGACCCAAATTGTCGGGAGAACTGGTAATGACAAATTTTCGGCAGTGCTGCCTTTCTATCGTTTCCCAGAAATTCAACCGCATGAACATGAGTAGCATTGATAAAATATTTAAAGAAAAGAGCTGAGCTAAAAACTCGAAAGAACATGTAACTAGTAAAATTAAGACTGGCTTATATATTTTATTGCTATACGAGATGTTATAGAACTTATATTCCATAAAAAAATCTCACTTGTGCAACTTGGAGGTACAAAGTATATGAAACGCTGCTACATACCGCGATATTGTATACATATTATTTGTTTTTTTTTACTACGTTAATAAAAGCAAGAAATTATCTTTGGCTTAACGATGAAAAACAACGGCGTATTCATTAGAAATTGCCCTGTGCGCGTTGCAGTTTGATATAATCAGAGCTAAAATGACCGCACTATCCTTTCCGATTTCAGTCTCGTTTGCCGCTTCTGCGGCATGATGACCCGACTTACCTCCAGTATAGCTACACTTGAGCCGGTTTACAGAGATTATCCCACTCTAGTTTGTCTTTCTCTCTCTCTCTCTCTTTCTACTTTATATAGGATATTATTTCTCTATATCCAAAAGCTATTGTAATAATTTAAAAAGCGGCTCATTTATTACATATCAGGATGGCAAAATAACGTTTTGTGAACACGTTGGCTGTTGGGAAATCGTATACACAGTTTGTTGTTTAATTATCTCAGAGTGTGTGTATTTGTTTTATCGGTATTTCGGTGCATGTACGTGGGCGTAGCTTAGAAAAGGGTTTTAAGGGGAAAATTCATGGCATATTTTCCCTGCCTTAGGAAACCAGGCACATTAGTTTATATAGTGTGGAAAAGCCAAATAGAACAGATTGGTTAATTCAACTATATATCAGATCATCAAATAGCTATCCATTTAAGTCGCCATTTGAAGGCTTCTTTGTGGAAAGGAAAAGAATGTCTGAGTAAGGGCCCATTTGACAAACTTTATCCGTTTAATGGCTGTAACTACTTTTTTCAAAGGGTTTAACTTGTGCTGAACATTGTCCTTTATGAACTGTTGACAGAATTGCTTAGGGATGTCATTTGTTTTTATTTGATGTCATGTGATTTTCCGCGATACGTCTGAACCTACTTTTCAATGAATTTTTGGGTTAGTGCGGTTTTCACAAAAAAGAACGAGATCGAGATCATTTATTAAAAACGACTTCCTTTTTAAATTAACGTAAAGAACGACCCCAGGTGCTTTATTATAATATCCGGTGTATTATCATTTCTGGATGAAAATTCGTTTCCAGGATAAATCGGGTTCCCACTTCAGCGTTAAATTCACACTGCAGTTTTCGCCTTTCATACTATATTTTTATAATTTTCGCACGGAGTTAATATCGTCCGCGAGAGCATTTTCTCTACGCCACTGTTGGCGTGCCTGTATCTATCTGGCGACTTTATCGCTGTTTAAAATACAAACTACGTTAAATTTTAAGAATGGGTAAACTGTGCGTTGCTCCTATTTCGTAAGAGAGATAACACCTCTCTTTGTTTATTCCTCACCGGTTTTGAATACTGTATGCAATAGTTTTACCGTTATAAAGAACATCGTCTATTACTCTGTGCTATTACTGCTTATGACGTTCGCATTGATAATGTAGTTTCCGACTGAAACAGTCTCATCGAGGATGTTTGAGGTTTAACACAGCCGGTGCCTGTTCGATTCATAAACCGTATGATGCGTTTTGATAAAAAAAGGTGGAAAAAAACAAACTGATTTCTGTCACGAGTTGACAAATTGTAGGTTAGGTATGTTGTCAGCTGTCAGTTTTGTTTATTTCTGGGTATATAATGCAGTGTGGCATGTTTGTGTGCAATTGCAATATTTCCTGGCCAATGGACCTGGGAAATAAAAATATAAATTGAATGTAGCTTAATTGCAAGAGGGTTAGGGTCAGGATCAACTCTGGCAATATCATTAAAATACCTGTAGTATTTTAGGATTACCTGAAGAGACCAATGAAAGTTAAATAGGCATGCAACAAAAGATGACAAAACCCTGCATATAAAATTATTACATTTCCTCTGCAATCAAATTCTACCTGAGAACAGGTAGCAACATCAGCAAAGTCTATGAATGGACTGAGCCGGGATCCAAACCATGGAGAAGTAGCTCTTTTTGTTTTTAAGATCACTATTGCAATAATTTAAAAAAATTAGCTTTTAAAAAAGGTTTATCGGACCTGTCTATTTATTTTCAGATACAGGAAGTAATTTCGACATTTAGTTCTGCAATCGTTTAAAAATACACCTTTATCTAAATAACCGCATTTGTACGTGTTTGTTTCTCATTTTCCTCTATGTTTGATCTTTGCTCTTCATTATAACGAAACAATTGTAGTAGAAGCAATAAAACCGGTACTATCTACGAATCCGTGAGATTATATAAACTGTTAACTTTTTTGTATCTTAATGTGGCGACGATAATTATTGTATGTTCATGGTGAAAAGCGACGAGGTCATCAGAAACGATGAGAAAATATCCTTTGGCGTTTTTCAATTGTTTTAACCTGCTCGATCGTAGTTGGCGAACAAGTGAAAGTTCTATCAAAATTTAAACGGCCGACTTTCTTGCGTTGCAGGCTGATAAGCTAGATTCAAATTACTGGATGTGATGCAGATTCTTCAGTTTTACGTTGCACGACCCTTTTTTCAACAGCCTGTCTGGACGAGTATTCTTAATAATAATAACATAAAATGAAAATAGTAATTAAAATAGTCCATATTTTCGGCATTTTGTTTTCATCAGTAGACCTCGGCGTGCAGTTTTAGTTTCTCTTTTTGAAATTAAATAGTGTGTAGTTTTGGAAGGCAACAGATTATTACATACAGGGAGGCCCAACGAAAAGGTCTCACCCCTATTTGTGACTCTATTTGGGGAAAAAGGCTCGGTCACGTCAATTTTGATCTATAGGGGTACAATACAGGGTAATCCAAAAATAAGTTATTACCTTACACTTTAGATTTTTAAATGGAAACTTCCATTTATTATTAATTTTTAGATTCTCCATGAAGTTTTTAGTAACTTTTGTATAATAAAGTTTATATCTATATAGATAGATATTAAATCGCTGTGAAGCTATTTGAGTATATAATAAAATTCTAGAAATTGTGATAATCCGCAAAGTTGGGGTTTTCCTTTTCAGAAACAACTACCCTTGAAATAACAAAGGTAATGTGTAGTGAAACGAGGGTGACCAAGTAAAAAAAAATAAAGGAAAAAGTACTCACTCTCCAGTTGACGAGAAGGGCTAAGTAGGTCTCTGCCCGAAATCATACCGCTCCAACAGAAAACAAATGAAATCAGCTGATGCGCTACCGAGCAGACGCAGGCAAACAAGGAAGGCAAAATATTGCGTAAAAAGTCTAGGTATTGCATCCCGTCCAATCGATTTGGGAGAATAAATGGCCCAATGAGCATACCGTTCACCATGCCAGCCCAAACATTCACCGAAAATGTTTGTTGAAAATGTGCCCGACGGACAGCGTGCGGATTTTCTACTGACCAAACATGAGTGTTGCGAAAGTTATTCACCCCATTACGCGTGAACGTAGATTCGTCTGTCACCAATATGCACTTCAAAAAGTCCGGATTATTGTCATGTTGATGCAACAACCACTCACAAAACCGCAGAAAAATTGCTTATGTTTTCAAGATCTACACGTCGTGTAAAGGAAAACCCCAACTTTGCGGACACCCTGTATAGTTCCCATAGTAACAAGACTTTACTTTAAAATTAAAAACAAGTCTGTATCTATACACACTCCTCTCTCGTACACGTTGAACTCAAGCCGTCAGATAAATTTGGTTTTCCGTGTAAACAAAATTGAAATTTTTGTCTAAAAAAAATGTATGATACTTCACGTATGTGAAAACTACTTGACGGCTTCCTAATTTGCCCAATTCAAATAGTGACGTAACCACATTTTACGGCAGTTTAAGTGAAACCGTATCACGGCGTACTGCGTTTTATAATGACTAAAATAAATGCATAGCATTAACAGTTGAATTGTCGAACGACCCTGGTCCAGACGACTTGTCCGTCGCTCGTCTCGGCAGAAAAACAACTTTATTACATTTCAACATATTTTTAGTCTTCGGCGCGACATAAAAATCCAGCTCTCTACTACTACAAACGCATTAATTGAATATTTATTTGCGTACGAAAATAAGAAGGAATAAAGTGTCGAGTTCCGTCCTTGATAATACGTTAAAATTAATCTTGTGTACTGAGTAGCTTTGGCTTCCTTCTGTAGTTGAACGTTTGCTCATTTCACCTTGTTTCCTTGCTATTGATTTTAATACATACGACCAGTAAACAGGGGGACCGAGATCAGTGGCGGCGTCAATTTTAAATAAAGACGCAGAAGAAATTTGCAGTATTTAATTCGCGAACAGTATTTCGAAAATGAGATCGTGCATGGATGGTTTACATCTTATGCTTGGTTCATAGTATTTCATTGACCAAATTACCTGCAAATTGAAATAATAAGTTGTTATTCAACTAAGGGTTTTCCTTTTGTCGCACCCTATCGCTATAATGAGCTTCCTATCAGCTTTGAAGGTTTAAGACAAAAGTAAAAAACTTTGTTTTCGAAAATATGTCATAATTCCTTCTGATTTTGAACTTGTGTAATGTTAACTCTGTTAACTGTGACTACATTTTATTTTTTCAATCGGAATTAATAATTTCGCGTTCCTTTTTTTTAACAACACTGTTTACGTGTTTTCAATTTCCGCATATCATCTTTTATTTTCAGTGGCGGCTCGTGGCAAAATAAAACAGGTGTTCTGCAAATCCGAACTTACCTATTTTTTATGTCAGTTCGATCCTGCGCTCCTTCTTAGCAGCAAATTTGTCGATCACCTTCCCGTTGAAATTTTCCATGGTCGAAATAAATTCCTTTTCAATGGTCAGCATCGACAACGCTGTTAGGCGATCCTGGGTATTACGAAGAAAAGTCTTGATTCTTTTCAATGTCGAGAAATTTCGCTCAGCCTCTGATGTTGACATAGGAGTTGTTACAATAATTTCTTATAGCTTTTTTGTATCTTTTAGTGTTTCCTCCAAAGTATTTTGTATCAAAAGTTTCAAAAGAAACAGAGTTCCATGTAAATCTCGGCAATGATTCCGTGCATGAATAACAGACAACTCTGTCTTTAAACGACTTTTTTCTAATTCGGGATAAGCCAAGCATGCAGTTTCCAACTTGTCATCAGGAAACTTACCAGATTGTATCAAGCTCAGCAGAAACATTAATCAGTCCACGAAATATTCCCGGGTTTTGGGAGCTCTCGGTTTCGTCATGGCCCCGTAGCGCCAATTCAAATGCTCCGCAAAATTTTATACCGAGCACCGACCGACCAATCAGATATCGTACTTCGGATTAGATCGTACGGATCTGTTTAACGTGCAGCACATGCTCATGCTTAAATCGCCCATTTGATTTTGTAGAGAGAGACAAAAGCAAGCGCGTGCGGCTTGTGTCGAAGTACAGTATATTCAGATAAGAGATAGACCGGATGTAAACAAAAGGTTCGGGTGATTTTCACGCTAACGCCGCCGTCTCGACGTAAAACAGGAGCCCTCATTGGTCAATTCGCAATTAAATGCCTATGCCGAGCGGCAGAGCAGTCGTATCAAGGCAGAGTCACATTCAGGTTCAGACGTGTTACCTATGTCGTGTGCATCATTGCAATTTGATATTTCTTTGGAGGTTTTCGTTTATTATCTTATTAAGTTGTTGAGTTTGTCGTTGTTATTGTTATACCTTGTTATTGATTGTTATTGTTATCAACTGCTTGCGCAAAATGCCCAGTAGTACAGATAATGCCGATGAAATTGTAAACTCCTGTAGTCCACCTAGGAAACGCTCTAAAAAAAGACACCTGAGTGCAGAAATGAAAGAGGTCATTTTGAATATATATAAGATCGAGCGCGAGGAGAACGAGGCATCAACCATCAAAGAAATTGTTGTGAAGGTTTCTCACAAAGTTGGGGTGTGTCGCGCATCAGTGTTTAATGTGTTAAGACAATACAAAAAAAATCACACCTTTTCTGAGCCAATGACCAGTAAACATCGCAAAAGTATTGTTAAATCATTGGATGAAGCTGATAAGCATGCGATTAGGAGGAAAGTGCACGAATTCTTCTTTAGGAATGAAATACTTACTATAGATAAAGTACTGCAGGAGGTAAATGGAGATACAACGTTGCCAAATTTCAAACGATCAACTTTCCATGCGTTACTGAAGCATTTAAATTTCAAATGGAAAAAACGGGGTCGTAATAGTTTATTACTGGATAGAGAAGAAATTGTGCTATGGAGGAGGGATTATTTAACAAAAATTGGGAAATATAGAAATCAAAACAGGAAGATTTATTACCTTGATGAAACGTGGGTAAACGCAGGACACACTACAAGTAAAGTATGGGTTGATGATTCTGTAACTTCATCCAGGAGGGCCTTTCTAGATGGACTGTCCACCGGATTAAAAAATCCAGCAGGTAAATACGAGTAATAGACAACAATCGGATGTTTTTCAAACCTTGGGAACAAGGTTCTAAACATTAATTCCAGGGGGCAGATAAAACATATTACAAGTAACAAAACTTTTATAACTTTCGATGAAATGCGTGGATGTTTTATTGTCATTTTCATTTGTTAGAACTTTTTTAAGCCATGTTTTTATGTGTTTTTGATATTTCAATAATTTTTTAATATAATCTTAAAATATGTCGAATATTATAAACTTAAAAAAAGTTACTAAGTTTTATATTGTGTACCGTTCCTAATATTTCTAATCATTTTAATTCATACTTTAAGCTTTATAAAGTTATAATTTGTTAATATTAATATTTGCGCGTATTTCAGGTTCCTGATCATTCATTTTTTAAAGGTTTATACTTTAAATTAAATTGTGAAGCGCTAAGTAATCATAGACGTTCAATATTCTTTCTTTCAATATGACTAAATAATCCCAATTATAGCAATCTGATACTCATGTCTCAATGTTTTTTCGCTGAATGTGATGAAAACATTTGAAAAAGGTTCGCTTATTGAAATAAATCTACACCAGTTAGTACTTCGATTTCCAGGTAAAGGGAAAAGGCTCATTATCTGCCATATTGGCAGTGAGGATGGATTTGTTGTTGACGGTCTGTGGTGCTTTGAGTCTAAGAAAACTGGAGATTACCACGAGGAAATTAATGGAGAATCGTTTGAACAGTGGTTTTCAAAAATTTTACCGAACTTAGAGGAAAACGCAGTAATTGTGTTGGATAATGCGCCTTATCATTCTCGAAGAATGGAGAAGGTCCCAACAACGGCTTCAATGAAAGTTGATGTTCAAAATTGGCTCCGCTCGAAAAATATCAACTTTGAACAAGCAATGCTGAAAGTACAATTATTAAGAATTGTCAAGGATCACAAGGCGGAATATCAAAAATACGCCATTGACGAAATGGCAGCAAGTCAAAATAAAACTGTGCTCCGTTTACCTCCATACCATTGCGAGCTCAATCCCATTGAGCTCATATGGGCAGAGGTTAAAAATTATATAGCTAAGCACAATACAACTTTTAAATTTTGTGACCTCAAATGACTTTTCAAAGAAGCACTAGAATTAATAACAGCGCAAAAATGGGAAAACTGTATTAAGCACGTGAAAGACAAAGTTGAAAAGAGAATGTGGGAACTGGACAATATTTTAGAGGAACAAGTCGAGCCATTCATTATTGACGTTGGTGCTTCAGGCAGTAGCGATGATGAAAGCTCATCAAGCTCATCTTTCCAATAAAAGATGTCGTTCATCAAATTCGGTAAGTTATAAGTAATTATAAAGCTACTGTATTTTTTAATTAATTATTGACATTTTTGAACCCATTTTGGCAAAACCTATTCAAGAATCTACTTTCTGACAATGTTCAACCATGCACATTTTTTTACGTTTTGAACGTTTTAATTTGGTTACATATTTACCTAGAAATCAAAAAATATACTAATCAATATTCTAAAAGCAATTTTAAGAGATATACAATTATTTTTAATTTAGGCTAATTTAAACGCCATTTTGAGATTATATTCGACTGTATTTCACCAAACATCAGGCGGCATCCGAAGCTGGAAATCGAAGCGAAAATTTTGAAACCCTTATGTATATTTACATCATTATATATTTCTTACCCCACCCCCACATGATCCTATATCCATCACCAATCGTATACACATCGAATTGTGCTAATTTACTACAAAGTTACGCAAAGCAGCATCTACTATCTAAAATATGTACTGCGTGATTCTTAATACGTCCCTGCCGAATGTTACAGCGTTCGATGATCACGTGGTCTTGTTTATGTCCGGTCTGTCTCTTATCTGAATATACTGTAGTGCCCGGACCCTTTTCAAGTGGCCCATGAACAATGTTACGCTGCGATCGCGACGAAAATGACAAGTACACAATTGGTCGATTATAATGCTTTCTCAATACAAAACAGACTCGACGCTGTGTCTTGCGGGGGCAGCGTTGCCGGTATTGTTTCTATTTGTGTGATAACATGGAAAATAAATAATGATTAAATTACTACTGCTTTTTTCTGTTAAGACAAAAGTTTTGGCAGTTCTGCAGCTCTGCAGAACTCAAGGGCCAGCCGCCCCTGGTACAAATAATAAAATATCGAGTTTCCGCCTCGTTCTCATAGAACCGAAGAGGTGGTGGTTTCGAATCCCATCGAGCCGATATCAAATTTTCATTTCTAAAAATAACATAGACTACGCCGCTGGTGTGCACCGCCGAGACAAAGAAGAGGGACCCGGAAAGTTGGATTTCCCCCATTTTAGGCCGCTATTTAGAATTGACGCCTCTTGCAACAGTCGATAGATAGCGTCACACGCGTTGCAACGAAGACACGCCGAAAAATACTCCCCTCCTCGCCCTTCCAACATTCGTAGCGGCGAAATCATTATCATTTATATTATGCCACGTGTACGCCGGGGGTGGTATTAATTCTTGGTTAGAAGAAAAGGGTTACCTGCATATTTGAAAAGGTGACGGTTTTATGATTTTAGTTAGAACCATGAAACACTGTAAAAAACATTATAAGATACTTAAGCATTAACATGTCCTCGTTCTCTCAAGCCCCATGAAATTAAACTGAACTGATTTTTTTTATATAAATTAAGTATGACAAAGTTGTCCATGTGCAGAGTTCTCCACAAGCTGAGCCAATATCTATTACATGGAAAATTACTAGGATTAGTGGAATAACTGAACAGGTTTAACAATAAATACAGTTCGCCTAGGATATGTGTTGATGAAAAGAATGCGGAAAAAAATTCGGGTTGTTATTTGGTTGTTGCCACGTCTGATCTTCCTAATTGCTGTTTGTGTTGGTAGTTTTCGTTTCAAATTATAAGCGAATTACCGATTTGGCAAACCCTATAAGACTGATAAGTGATATTTCCCTGGATTCTTGTTTTGTACCTGAACAAATTAAAATAAAGATTTTTCTAATTTTCTCGAAAACGAATCGACTGATCTTAAAAAATCAAACGTAAAAATAAAGGACTTCGAAAGACCTTTCAAACAAGCTATTACGCGATGCCCCTTGTCATTTAAAATTTTTAAGGGATGACACTGGGGGGCAGAGGGTGAAAGTGGTGAAGCACTTTTTGGTTAAAAAGTGTCCTATTGACAAATATTTTGACGTGTCTCGACGTTTTTTCTTTTAATCAGTGGTTTTCGATAAGTTTTCAAATGCACTAGGGATTTCAAATTTGGAACTGTAAACCATACAATACAAAATCTTTTATGAAGACTAAGTTGCGCATTTGGCTTTCTAATAAAATGTTCCATAGATATACTAAGTGACATATAAATCCGAACACCAAGTTTAAATGGTTTTATTTTAATAAAATTTTGTATAAGTACTTAATGAAGCATAATAAGTAAATGATAAACATTTCAAAATGATTGCACTGCTTTAAAGCCCTTTGACCTTTAATAATGTGTGGATGCACCCTGATGTGCTACGCATTCTCCAACGCGCCTAGCCATGCTTCTGATCAGGTGGTCAATGTCCTCCTGTGGTATCTCATTCCAGACAACCACCAACACCTCTCGAAGTGCTTCTAGAGTCTGAGGAGGACGTTGCAAATTGAGCAATCTCCTACCCATCATATCCCGTGCTCAATTGGGGATAAGTCGGGAGATCTTGGTGGCCATGGTAACAATGAGACATCATTATGTTGAAAGAAGTCTATTGTGACTCTTGCAACATGTGGTCGGGCATTATCTTGTTGGAAAGTTGGATCTACCAGGGTGTCAAGACAGGGTAAAAGATGGGGTTCTAGAACTTCGTGGATATAACGCTGCGCGTTTATGTTACCTCTGATGAAGATTAAAGGTGACCTGGAACCATAAGCTATAGCACCCCA